AACAGGTGCCTTACTAGTAGTAACAAGAAGCTACTAGGAACAAGTGCATCGCTCGATGTGGATGGATGTGGATGGTGTGTCGACCACGTGTCCATACGATGAGTCTATGTCGGAACCAAGCGTCCAAAAGGTGCTCCTTCTCACAATCTTTACAATTAAAACAGTGGCAACATGGGTTCTAAGTGTGTATGGGTATATACAGTATGTATATAATATAATCCTTATGTCACTGTCACTGTGTCACTTTATATAAGTCTATGAATACATCGAACGTGTGCAGAATGCTATAGAAGTTGCTCTTTCTTCTTTTGCAGTTGGAATTTCTGGAGGCTTTGGAAAAGGGGAAGGACTTCCCCGACTTCCTTTCTAGACTCACAGGAGACGTGACCATGTGGATCATGTATCTCATAGGGATTTCTTGTCACTCACCTTTTGCGGCTCAGCCACGCTCCGCCACGTTCCGCACCTTTTCCCTTCACCGGTGAGACGAGTTTCGAGGATGGCAACGAAGACTGCATGTCTGTGACGTATTTGGGCATGTCTGTCCTACCAAACATTCTGGCGCCGAACAGCTGCTCGTTCGCTGTCGGCTGTCTCGCTTCACATCCGCCCGAAGTTCACCGTCGCTCGAAATCAACGCCGGACGTCCGATCCGAGGTCCTGATTCCAATTCACTTGGCGTGTGCAGGTGTTTTTTGGTGGTGCGTCGTGTGTGGTGTTCTTCCGCGGTATCTCTAAAAGCCGTTCCCTCCACGGCGGCCGATGGTCGATCGCTTCGATTCGAAAGGGGGTCGATCGCTTCGTTCCATCGCCGTTCCGAGCTGCTGATGTTCCGAACCGCCCCCACGTGGATCTCCACCTTCCCGAAGGCGAAGGGCAGCGCCTCCGGTGGATGGCTCGCTGACCAGTGGGAAGGACCGGCTGAACTGCCGTGGGTTCTGGCGCCGTCAAAGTGGACGAAGGTGGCGTAGGCAAATGGTCCAAGTCTGAGGCAAATGGTGTCCCAAGTCCCAAGAAGTTTGGGGGGCAGACTAGCTGCTGAACATCTGGGAGCCACTGTGACAGTGGAAAAGCCATCTGTGACAGGTCCAGAAAGCGGCGATGAAGAATGAATGAAACACCCTGTCGGGGGTTTCATCCAACCACCTCCTGTTGGGGGGCTGACCATCCTATCCGGTCCTACCCGTCCTACCCCCGCCCCCAAGGCCCCAACCGACCAAAACCGAGCGTTTGGACCATCGGGGGACCGTATGATCCAGGACATCGAGGGCCACTGCAAAGCCAAAAACCGAGCATGTGGGGTAAAAGTCTTCAATAATTTGATTCATTCTCAACAGGGAAACCTCCACTAGGTGGTGGGGTGAGGACGTCCTTCTGGAAGAGAGGATCGATCGAGGCTCCCGAACGAAGACACGCTGAACCCATCGAGTGGACCCGCCCAGCCTCGCGCAGGCCGGACTGAAGGCCTGGTGCCGTGTCCACACCGTAACTCGCCCAGCAGAGAACACGGAGAAGTCTGAGCAGACCTTGTTTGTCTACACGAGTCTTTGAGTCTTATAGCGACTTTCCACTCCCCACTCGGTGTTTTTTGAAGGCCATTTCCCGGTCAAAGCAAACCAGGGACCATGCGTCCCGGTCAAATCGCTCGGGTTGGAGAGGCAGTCGTCTCCGCACACCGGGGATGGTAGAGATTCTCACTCCAGCTCACTCCGCGACCGGCACTGACTGGCCACGTGACTGGCCAACTGTCTGGATGTCCCTTTCTTTTCGCATCCCCCCGTCCGTCCAAATCGCGACCTGTCCGGTCAACGGAAGAACATCCAATCGCTCGAATGACGGGCTCTCACATCGCCATGCGGGTGGTCCGAATCCACCACGAGTCGGAACTCGGACTGGCAGGGATCCCCCCTGCCTTCCAAGGTCTTGCCGAAGATCAGTTGTTGAGAGTTCTCCACCTCGGCTTTTCGGACAACCGGAGTCGAGCGAGCCGGGCAAAGACCCCAAGAAAGCGCAGAGCATTCTTAGGGCCCAAAAGGAAGTCAGTCCATTGAGAACCCTTCTGGAGGCTGCATGCATACTGTATGCTGTCTGTGTATATATATATATACTGTATATATACAGTATACCCTAGGACCCGAACCACCATGCACATTTTAATAGTCTTCGCCAAACAACCAGTGTTTTAATAAAGATTCTACACTACAAAACCAGGCCATGTAAAAAATCGTATTTGAAGGCTAGGGGATACACTATATATTCTACGTAAGTTGTACCACGGGCACCCTTTACCTCCCCAACATAGCCGCTAGATTCTAGCGGCTAGAATGCAGAGTTGAACTGGTGAAACACTATGAAACATTCAGTTCCTTGAGCAAGTCCGCTGGGAGGGAAGTGAAGGTGGGAAAGGATGAAAATGTTACAGTAGAATGCGCGGTATGCACTGCAAGCTGACGGCCCAAACACTACATGTGTAAATGATGATCTTACGAATGTTGTTTTGCGTACCTCGCGTTCCAACTAGATTTAGATGTGTGATGACCCCGACAGGATTGTGAACAGCGAATAAGTCAATAAGTCATGTACTGCCCCGAAGTTCAGTATGGAAAATACATTCTTCGGACGAGTTTGTTGCACAAACCGGTGGTGGCAATCTCGATATCCGGGGAGGATTTCTCGCAAATGCCACATCCAATTGCAAAGTATATCCAAGGAAGAATGCGAGTGCTTGTGTATGTGGTATATGCTTCTTGCACATGTCTTTTAGCACAAGTCGACTTGGCTCGTTTTGTTCGATTTTCTCGGCAACATCAACTCCTGAGTGGTGACTCGATGGTCCACTGAGCCTTTGTCAGTGCAAAAACCAGCTTTGTCAGTAAACCCGGCTCCAGATGCCCAGCAACCTTCAGGTGTTGGTGATATGTTCCGCAGTCCTCTTACATCCGCAGCCAACTCTTTTTTTCAGGTGGGCGAAAACTCCCAGTTCTTCTGTAGTTGCTGCAATGGCACAACAAAACTGTTTGGGCAGGGGAAATCGCGTTCGATCAGCATGCCCCCCGACGCGGTACCACCAATCCAGCCTGCACCGGCGATGCAGAGAAAAGGCTCTGCAGGATCTCCAAGAACTTGAACCTCCCAAGATGCTCCAGCCTCCTCACTGTTCTCCAAGAATCGTCCCAATCCTTCAGGATCATCTTGCAGAGTGTGGGGTAAGCATCCCACCATTTCTCGATCCCTGCCAGAGTTGAAGGGCCGTGTGCACCAGCTATGTTCCGTACAAAAACGGCCTTGTCCGTCCTTCCTCAGCAGCAAGATCTCTTTCTTGTAGTCGTGAGGATCCCAACGGTTCACAGGCTCGCTCCCCGTGCGCCGTGTCCAGCGCCCCAGCAAGTCCTGGCGGAGCAGCTGCAGTGAAATCTCTTCGCCTGAAGGTAACGGCTCCTCAGCTGTTAAGACTCGGTCGTTGCTGAGGAGGAGGTGCATGTGCCGCTGATCTCCCTCCAGCTCCTTAAGGAGATCAGCCACTTTGGAGCCACAAGGAAGAACTTTCGTGGCATGATGCTCTCCCGTTGCAGCCAAGCGCACCAGCACACGTTGCATGGTGTACGACATTTGATCTTCGAGCCAATGGCTCGGTTCATGCGCACACACATGCATATGCATGTATATATATATATATTGCGAACGGATGGAAAGGTGTGCCCTGGCCCCGTTCTAGCTCTTAGGTCAACATGAAGCTCACGCGCTAAAGCTCCTTTTTACCTGGTTGGGCACTTGAGCCAAAAGTATATGGCATGTACCTGTATAGCGACTATACTGGGACCCCATCCCTATTGACACCCCCCACATCCGTACTTCGACGGGGAAGGGAGATGAGTGGATGTAAAAACCGGAGAACGAATCACGTTCTCAAAAGTGTATTGGAGGTCAACCAGTATGTCCTATTGAATTGAATTAGCAAAAGATCTTGCATTCGCTTGAAAGTTGGATCAAACAGGCAATGGAGCTACAAGCGGAAAACGTGCACCTACCTATGGTATCATGCGATTACCAATGGTGTGAGACACAATCCTATCTCACTCCCATGATGCCAAAACGGTCATCATGAATTACCCGAGATCCCTCAGTACTTGAAGTACCGGAAGTGGCATGTCGGTATGACCCCAATGTTCAACCATTCGTGAGTTGTCGCATGTAGTCAGCGCCGACAAAGCCAATGTAGTCCTTGATGAGCTCAACGTTCCTTGGATTTCCCGCTCGGATCTGCTCCTCGAAGGACTTCAATTTCCTTTCTTGGATATCGGATACCTCTATGCCATAGTAGCGGCATGCAACGAGGATCTCCTTCGTGACATTCTTCCTCTCCGATTTGATGGCGGGACTAATGTCGATGAATTTGTATGGAGCGGCACTTTCGTCATCTGGTTTCTGGTAGTAACTATATCGGCTCGCTCCGAAGGTCTTCTTGATCATGCGTCTGATGAAATTTGAGATGAATGCCAATTTCTCGATGATCTCATCCTGGGTCTCAGACTTTCGAGCCTTTGGATCACTCGTGTTGCGCTGAGTGCTGCCGACCTCTTTGAGGTACTTGTGGCTAAGCCCGCAGCGGATTGCAGTGATCATCATCGGATGAACAACATTGGCGTGGAATTCATAGATCTGCCACGCTTCTGCTGCAAACACGTCGTCGGTCCATCTGCTCATACCTACGACCTCGGCTCTCTTGAGACGTCTTGGAAACCCAGTATCCGGATCTTTCGGTACTATTGGCCATCTATTGTGCGGAGTGTCATGCCGCTGTCCATCGTCGAACATTCGCAGTACATCTTCACGACTCTCAAAGCAGTTGATGTCGAACGTTGCGTTGGCCAAGCCCTTGATCAACTTCATCAACCTCAGATCAAATTGCTGTGTGACGGCAAAGTTGTGGTCGATGGGGATCGCAGCTTCTTGCGGCAATTCGTCAATTGCGAAGGGGAAAGGCTTCGGAAGTTCATTCCCGTATCCATCTTGAGGGACCTCCCGATACTCGGGTTCGCCTTCAGCTTCGTCCGGTCGTTCCTTCAAAATGATAGGAACTTCCTCCTCTTCCTCTCCTTCGGATTCCTCGATCTCAATGACCTCTTCGGCTGTCTTGCGTGCGTTCTTGATGACTTCATCGATGTTTGCACCTGCAGCAGAAGTTGTTTCACCGGAAGAACTGGCTGGGACATCTTTCGGAGGTGATCGTTGATTGCGGTCCCTTGTCTCCTTGGGTACCACATGTGTGAGCTTCCCATTCGCGATCAGAACCGCTACGCAGTGCGGACATATCGTCAATCGCACATCGACTTCGCCAAGACAGTTAGGACACGGTCTTGAGTCATAGTCTTTCATCGCTCGGCGGTACACGATCTCCTCGAAGAGTTCCTGCCACTCGGTGTTATCATACTCTGGGTAAACACCACTCTCCTCGATCATACCCAACAGCTTTGAGATTTTGGCGTCGTCCTCGGAGTAGGTATCGTCCTGAACCTCAACCGCTAAGCTCTCAAGCTTTTGAAAACGTGGAATCATGATCGGGTTTCCGTATTTGGACTCTAGAACAAGGTAGCTTCCAGGGTCGGGTTCCCCATTGAGTAACCGGATCCATTCGATCTCCTCAGGCTGTCCGGGTTCCGCATTGTCGCATTGCAACCATGCCCCTTTAACCTCATCGAAGGGAACGACGTTCTCAACCAATAGAGAGCCAGTCGCTGAGATGAGAAGTCCGTACTCCTGCAGCTTCCACACCGGAATGTAGAGAACCACTGGGCGATCCCTCATTGCGACCTTACGACCCAGCCAAGGTTTACCCTTGTAGCCCTGCTCCCAGGCCCATGGCGGAAAACATGTGAAGTGGATAGAATCCCTTCCCGATGAACCGAGACCTCCCGGCACTAGCCCTCGTCGCATGATTGAAGTCAGCGCTCCGAGATTGGTAGCGTGAAATGCAGTCACCATAGATAGGGCCATGTCGTTGGTCATTCTCGACCCAATGTGGTCGATGTCAATGGTAACGTCATAACCTCCGCCGTCCGTTGAGTGTGCCGAGGTTGCTCTTACAGCCACGGGAAAGCACCATCCATCGCTATGGTGGAGTCTTCCTTTAGAGATTCCCATGTCCTTGAGTTCGTTAATCCATTCCTTCTCCATCGGGTCATCAGGCTCATTGAGTTCATCAGGGTGAACGCGGACCGCCAACATTTGGAATCTGACCCTCTTGGTCATGCGGAAACACTCATAGTTTTGGTCGAAGTACTTCTCCAAACGCGCCTTCTTGGTCACGATATCTATGTTGCCGTAGTGATAACCGTCTTCCCAAACTGCATTATCACCTAACAGGTCTTCCCATGACACCCATGCGCCTTCATCGCATTTGATTGGTGCGAGTCTTCCTCCTGTCCTGAACTGGCGTCCAATTCGATGTCTCAACTTCGCTCCCAATCGACGACTCAGGGCCTGGCTCGTTTGGCTGTATTCAGGTACTCGACAGTCTGGAGTCGGATACTTGTGGTTGCCGTAGTCGGAGTTCTTTGCAGCGAAAGTGACTCCGTTGATCGGTACTAGTTCAACTTTCCCGACCATCGTCATGGGGTCGATCGGCTTGTATCCCTTCTCCCTCCGTGTTGGTGGGGATAGAAGTGATGACATGCCTTTGGTGTGAGGGAACTGGAGTGCACAAATGCCTTCTCGACAAATTCATACACCTCTTTCATATCCTTAGGGCCTGCTTCCACAAGCTTCCGCCCATTGTAGGAATGTGGTCCTCCTTCGACTCCATCAGCACTTTCGATCAAGGTGAATCCGTCATGGTCGAACATTGTCACGACTCTTGCTTTTAACATTTCTTTGCGCCTGAACTCGCTGTCGACCTTTCTATCTGGAGTGGGCGACGCTCTCTGCTTCTTCTTCTTAGGCTGTTCGGTTGGATGTC